TGTGTGTACCAAATTTCATGGCAAAGGTCGACATTGCCATCCACAATAAACATGTCTTCCACTGTGGAAAAGACACAAAATCAACACCATGACAGATTTTGACTGCTTTGAACCTGAAAAATCCAGAAATCCGACAGCAGCTTGTCCACTCTTTATTATTAACTATTTTTGGTGATGTTCACAATCCTTTTTTACAACAATTTGTCAGATATCATACCAATCGTGAATACGACTGAGAAAGAAGGAGAGAAGCTGTAAAGGAATTTCTAAAACGTGTCTCCTGTAACAGCTGCTTGAAACATTGCTCAGTAAAGGCCCTGGCACCCCACAGGTAATACACCACACACACACACACACACACACAACACACACACAACCACCTTACTATAGGCTATATACATACGCACACACACTCCAGCACTTGTAAGGAAGAGTTGTAACATCCCTTTGGCTATGAGGGGGCAGTTTCTAATCATTGCTATGGACTGACACTACTGTGTCAAGCTTCTTTGAGCCTAAATTATTCTTCAGTTTAATAACTTGATATTGCTTTTACACAGACCTTGAATTTACTGCTATGAGGACAACAAAACAAATGCTAACTTTTTTGCAGTCCTAGTGAAAAAAGTGCATTAATCACATTCATTATTACTTTATGTTACATTTACTGCTAAAACAGTTACTTTTTAGGACATTTATATACGTCACATGGATAAAATCTATCTTCAGAATAGTTTGATTACACAAGATTATTTACAGATTCAGACAACAGAGAGTTCGCTACATGATGCACTTTCAGCAGGAAGTGCCTGGCTCACACAGACTAAAACAAGACAAGAGATGAAACAAGACTTAAACGTTTTAGCCACACTAACCGTCCTGCGAGACAGTAACGCTCTTTACACACAAATTGCTGAATGGATGAAAGATGAAGAGACACATTTGCTGTTCTTAGACCTACCACTAGTTCTGCCTGAAGGTGGAACCATGTTGTCACGTAAATGACAACGGTTTATTCTCTGAACAATAGCTGTTTGAGGACACACTCAGATTGGCTCAGCTACATAATAAAAGTGAGTTTTAGGTGTTGTGTGATTGCATACAAAGTTAATGAAAAGACATGAATGGATGCAGAAAACATATCTTCTTTTTAACTTAAGTTTAACACGTTCCTGGTTAGTAAAGTTAAACTCAATCAAATACTGCCGAATAAACTTTAAAAACACCCATAAACGCCCTCCTCTTATCGTTTAATTACTAACAACTGAATTGGAAAAACTGAGTTATAATTCCAAGATTTAAGATATTCTTAATTTCTGACAGCAATAATATCTCCCATTTGGTGAAAATATAAATAAAAATATATGCCAGCCACACTGACAGTTACATTTAACTCAAATCTGATATTAACATTGATAGACTCAATTTAATTAACAAACTGCATAACACATATTGGGTGTGCTAGAATGCTGATATTCTATATAACATTTAAAATGTTGTTAGTATGCTAATTACCTTGCTAACATGCTAATGTGTACTTTCCAGCAAGTTCATGTGTTTTCGTACATTTAGCATGTTAGCATGCTATCTTAGCATTATCTCAAGTATAGCTGAAGCTGACTGGGGTTATTTTTGTGTTGGACAACAGGACATTTTGACCTGCAGGTGGTACCAGATGAAAAGTCATCCGTTGGTAAGCGCAGGTGGTGCTAGTGTGGCTAAAAACAAGTAGACCAGTAAACCTAAAGTGGAGACAGGTGAGTGGACATCGCCAGCCAGAAGAACACACAGCTCTCATGAACACAACAGAGAACCAGCCGCTGCCTATAAAAGACACATCACACATCCCCTCCAGCTCCCAGCAGCGTTTTCACATCCCACAACAAGAATTAGCTACACAAACTACAAAATAGAGAAGTCTTTAAATATACAATTTAAATAAGCGTCACACAAGATGAAAATATATAGTATATATATATATATTATATATACTGGTCACTTTTAAAAGATAAATCTTTGTTTTTTTAACACACCTACATACACTGCAAATATACAGGAATATAAATATAGTCCATTTAATCCTTAACACCATGGCTTTGAATATTGTGATAAAAAAATAAATAAAGGTATCCTCTTCCATGTAACAGGAACTTGAATGTGCTCAGTTTCAACTTGTAGACAGTTTTGCAGTTTTCGAAGTTTTACTATTTACTATCAGTGTGTACAAAAATGAAACAGGTTCGGGGATGAATGTCAGCTGGTTTAACATCCGTTAAACCTGAAGTCAAAGATCTTCATCACAACTAATGTTACCGTCTGCTTCAGTAACACTTCAGGAGGTTTATTATTCCACAGATATACAGAAACAGTGTGCATTTGTATGTGCATGTTTTAGTTTTTTTATTACTGATGAGTTGAATCTTCCATTATTTGGATTTTTGCTTCTCAACTTCCTAAATCTTTTGGTCCTATTTCATGTTCATTATGTTTATTGTCCATTAGTGAACATAGTTTGTGCATTCTTGTTTGTGCTCCAATGTAAATATATATTGCTTACTCATTGTGTGGGACAGCAGTTATTTCAATTCCACATGTGCATAATTTAAAACAACAGGTCAGCAGTTAGTAGGGTTAGTGTTTGTTTCTTGTGCACAATAATTGTGTAAAATCTCTTTTGTGCTTTTGTAGAAAGAAAGTCAAAACTGCATCAAGCAAGCGATGGACATTTGTTTCAATGTCACATGAAAAAGCTGTGCTTTCTGTCACTGAAGAAGCTCTTTCTAGTTCACCTTCAACACAATTCGATATATTTCTATATCTCCTTTCTGTTATTCTGTATGTAAATATGTAGATTTCAAGTGTTTTATGGTCTTGTTTTTACTCTTTGGTGGAGAAACTTAAATGAGTTATAATGTGCGTGTAACGGAGGATGACACTGTGCCTTTAGAACATAAATCTTATCCTACATCATATTACTATACTGTACAACACTGTTTACATAATGAACAATAATGGCTACACACAAAACACAGCAGAGAACGGGAAATGGAAGAGAATGAAACATAAATGGATGACCTTTAGAGCAGCATTAAGCATAGTTTACAATACACAGAGCCCTGTGAAAACAATCGACACGATGAGAAGTGTTTTCTAGTTCAGGGCATCGGAACAGAAGTGTATGACAGACACACTGAATCACTGCATAAGATCTAATAGAAAATAACTTTTTCAGTGTTAGACTGTATGGTTTTAACACACAGTAGCATTATAGAGGGCAGCAACAGAAACACTGACAGACTTTAAACCTTAAAATAAGTGAACTCACATTCATCTCGGCTCTCTGTGCCAGTCTACTGAGTGAAAACCTGTTCAATCAGCAGGACCACACTGGCTCCTCTACATTCATCCTTTCAGGTTCCCTGCATTGTGCAGACAGGACTGTGCATTCAACTGTGTGTGTGTGTCGGGTGAGGGGGGGAGGTTGTGTCTGCTGAGGATCCTTTTACTAAGGCAAAGAAAAGCAGATCACATAACTTCATCTTAAACCCTGTGACGTTAAATACAGAATAAATAGAGATTAACAGTGCGTCACTGTTAATCTAACCCTGATTTCAGTGTTTGATCTACTGTTATAAGAGTGAACTTTTTTTCTCCTGCTGCAGGTGTTATTTATTGATGCGTGTTGGGTGGCTACATACAGTTTTGTGGCGTTAGCAGGGCAGTGGTGGGTGTTCTCTGCGCTGCAGTGACCCCCGGTGGAGACTTTATGGCTGAAAGGTAAACTGTGCTACAGGACTGGGTGTCAGAGGGGCGTTTGGATAGCAGTCAAGAGTCAGACTCCGGTGTGGCAGGCGTGGTCGGTGTAGTTGGTGTGGTGGGGCTGATGGCAGTGTTCTGGTAGCTCGTACCGTAGCAGCTGTTTGGAGACAGGGAGTTGGGGTCCAGAGCTTTGGTCCCTCCTGGAGTCAGGAAGGCTTTGCGAGCCGGCACTGCTGACGGCACCTCGCCAGGCTTTGCGCCTAGGATGAATCTGGCCTCGTCCTGCTCCTCCAGGTTGGACATGTCCTTCATCATGGTTTTACGGTAGGAGACGGACAGCTTGTTGGAGCCATCTGACATCAGGTTGAAGCGACGAGCGATGAAGACAATGGGGAGGGGAAGCATGGCCACCACGATGAGAGAGAAGCACATGGCCAGTGCCCAGGGAGGGTAGCTCTGGAAACGTTCCTGAGCCTGCAAACACATTTGAAAATAAATTAAAAATGTTTCTCGAAATGGAGAGAAGCATTCAAATCTAAATCTACAGGTACAAACTGAGTTGAAAAGATTGTTTACGATGTCAGTCTGTCGGTCCGTCAGTCCACCACTCTGATTCAGAATGAAATATCTCAACAACTTTTGGATGGTGTGCCATAAAACTGTGTACAGACATTAAAGATCCCCAGAGGATGAATCTGGCTATCCACTGACTTTTCATCCAGCGCCATCAAATAATGACCTCCCATTCCCATAAGCCTCAGCTGTACTTTCTTAGTGATAGTTAGCAAATATTAACATGTTAAGATGCTAAACTAAGATTGTAGTGAACATACCTGCTTAACATCACCTATTTTACTTACCTTTTCATTGTGAGCCGCACTCGTTCCTATTTTACTTACATCATACTTACAGACACACATATTTTCATAAACACCAGGGTTCTTTTAGGGGACACATATTTGTTTATGAGACTATTGTACAAATTCCTTATGACAAAAATGAGATTTAAAAACAGGATGAAGAAGTTGAGGGTGTGTATAGAGGATAAAATATGTCCACAACACCAAAAACAATACTAACTAATATTTATCATTACAAATATTTCAATAAAAATCTTAAAAGTTACTAAAATAAATCACCTTCTGACTCCAGACTTGGTAGATTCTTTTAAAAATCCTTTAACAGGAAAATATAAAGAGTGTAGAATACAAAAAATCCTCAACCTCAACAAAAAATTATGACAGAACACACACAAACACACAAACACACACAAACACACACAGACTGACCAGCTCTTGGACCCAGGCGTTGTATCCCGGGGGGCTGATGGCCATCTCTATGACGGTGGCTGTGATGAGCACGATGAGACACAGAGGGGAGACATACTTCCACAGGTAGAAATAAATCCTATATGGTCGGAAACCCAACATGTCCTCCAGATCCTGCATGAACCTGAACAACAACAAAAAGAAATACAGTAATGACATAAACACAGAAAGCCTATAATTTACACTTATCTAACACTCCTCGGCTCCAGTGATCAGGATGATTAATTGCAGACACACAGACACAAATCTACAGCTAGCTGTACCTTTTTGTACCGTAAATCCAAGCGACAGACACGTTTTCCAGGATGACGACTACAGTGAGAGGCAGTCCGGCAGAGTAATCATCAAACATGGTGACATAGTAATTCCCTGAACGTTGAACGAACAACAGACCACAGAAGAAGGCCACAACGCAGCAACACACTGAAACAAACCCAGAGAAGAGA